CTGTTGCTGATGACAGATCCGAGGAGGGGAGGGTCAGGCTGACTGCGCTTCCCCACCTCCCGCTGGAAACCCACAGCACCGAGAGCAGCCGGCAGAGAAACCCATCCTCTGATCAAAGGCAGGAGGGGGGAGAGCAGTTTTCCGAGCACAGGGCTGAGGCACAGGGACCAGCCTTGCCGCACGGGTTTCTGTCCCCTCTGCTCCCTGGGTCTGCACCTGGGTGGGTGCATTTTGGGGCTGGGGTGGGGTTGGTGAAATGGAACTGTACTCGCACACAGAGGTGGTGCTCCTTCCTCCTGATAAATAGTTCTCTCTTTCTTCTTGGTGTATTTTGCAATTACCGCTCTGCGAATGATGACTTGGGACCCACCAAAGGAGATGACCGCTCATTCTTGCAGGGGAAACTCTGTGGAGCGAGAGGGGCCTGGAAGTGGCCCCCGGGCCAGGAGGCAAGTGCAGGGCATGAACTCATCTGGCGCTCGCCATGGGCCCACCGGACCCTCGTGGGCTGGGGGCATCTCTGTGTGCTGACGGGAGCCAGCACCACTCGTGCAAAGCTGCCCGGTTTGAGCCATCCCCCATTGCCCTGTCTGTCCTCATGGACTTGATGGGTCTTTCTGTAGCCCAGGGGTGCGAGTTGCCACGTGAAAGTGAAATAACTTTTGCAGCTCAGATGCAATCAGGGAGGGGATGGCAGTGTACCAAAAGCCATTGCTCTCTTCAGTTTGACAGTTTAACAGCAAATTTTATTGCAAATGAAATGTGTCTGTGGAGCCTTACAGCCCGGGTAGGTCCCTGCATCTCACCCCTGGCTGCGACACACGGGCTGGTGCCAAGCCAGCCCTCGCCCCGGGCCACCGGGTGCTCCCAGAGCCCCAGGGTGCTCCAGCACCGGCTTTTCCAGGCACCCTCATCTGTAATTAAAAGAAACTACAGAAGAGATCAAACCGGGAACTGCAGTTCTTAGGGTTAGCGGGTTGCTGTGACAACATGACGCCAGCCACCTGGTGTCTGCCTGGCACTGGAAACCTCTGGACACTGTTAATCCTTCAGGCACACGCATGGAGACCCATTAGAAACATCCAGTTAAAAACACTTTTTTTTTTTTTTTTGGTGTGTCTGGCGCTGGCTACCAGGGCCGTTGGACTGAAGCAGCTCGGGGGGCTGATGCTGGTCCCTGGGCGGCCGTCCCAGTGCTCTGGGTGGCTGTGGCGAGGAGGGCAGGACAGGCTGTGCCTTGGGCGGTTTAGTCGAGGCTGCGGTGGCACAGTCACCCTGGGGCAGGCTCCTCACCTGCACAACGTGAGCGCAAGAGTCCTCGGAATGGGATTTTTTTTTTCTTAACCAGCTACCCCTCCTTGCCCTCTGCATTTGGCTGCCCCAACACCTCACCGTGTGCCCCCAGGTGTTCCCTGACCCGGAGTGGGGACGCCAGCAGTGGACGGCCGAACTGGGGTGCCCAGCCCTGAGCTGCCCTGTCCCAGCGGGCAGTGATGGGTGCTGGATCCGCTCCTGCCACCCGCCTGCTGTCGGTCCCCACACAGGGCGGGCTGCGCTCTGCACGGCTTCTCCCTCTCTGCTTGTGGAATGAGAAATTATTGTTCTTTTTAAAGAAAATGCAACAATTTTCTCCTTGCGCGTTTTTGAGGAGTGACTGGTAACAGCTCTCTGCACGTGCTTTTCTCCGAGAGAAGGGGTTTCGTTGGAGGGTGTCAGGGTGATCCCATGCGCTGGTCCCTGCGCTGGGTGGGGAGCGAGCGGAGGTTGGGGGGGCCCCGCTGTGGCCAGGCAGAGCCCCCGCTCCGTCAGCCTGCGTGCACGTGGCTCCGTGGCTTTGCCGGTGTGGCTCTCCCCTGAGCTGAGGCCCAGCACACAGGTGAGGGACAATTAATCTCCTGCGGGTTTATGTGGGATTTGTGTCACTCCTGGGACTTTGCAAAGCCGTGAATTTCAGTTGCGGTCCTTGGAAATTAAAGGCAAGGCTGTACTCAGCTGCTGGTGCTGCAGGGAGCTGGCAGAGGGGCTGCGGCCACCGGGGGCTTTGAGTCTTCCCTTGCTTAGGGATGAAGGTGAGAAATCCCCGCTGCCGGCATGATCTGTTGGAGGAGCGTGCTGGGGGAAGCAAGGTTTAATCCCCCCTGACTGAGGACCATTTTAAGGGCATAAATGGCAGAACAGAGACAGCTGGTGCCATAGCAACTGTAAAAAAATAATAGCTCTTTCGCTGTAGCTGGCCCTTCTTTTCTCCGGGTAGTTTACATGCAGTGGCTCAGTTGTGCCGAGTGTGGAGACCCTCCTGCACCCAGGTCCCGCTCACTGCTCAGGAAGGCTCAGCGGGTGGGCTCAGAGTCACTCTCGCCCTGACGGGAGGAGCTGACCCTGCAGCAGGGGGGTGTGAGAGGTGGTCTGCGGTGGTCTGCAGCCGTCTGCGGTGGTCTGCGGGGAGCAGGTCCCTCCGCAGCATCCCTCAGCGCGGGGTGCGGGGCTGAGGCCACTTTGCAAGTGTGAAGCAGCAGCTGTTCAAACACTGGCATCTTTTTAAAACTAAGCTACTTGCTCTCCTGAAGAGCCTCTTGTTTTCTCCACATTGATCTTTTAAATTGTACGTGATGAGAGGCCCGAGGTGGGCTTTGTACTTGCACCTTGGGCAGAGCTGAGCATGCAGGAACGGCACTAGCCAGGCATGGCTACAGCTATTCCCACAACAGCTGCAAGCCAGAGCCTCGCGGTGGTTTTGCAACACAGGGATGTGCAGCCTGCATGTTGCCATCTAAAAGCTCCCTACGCCGAGGCACAGACCAGCATCAGTTTCCCAACACACTGACGCTGCTCCGCTCCAGCCGAGCCGATGTGCCGCGCCGTCGGTTCGATGCCGATGCTGCCGTTCCAGCAGCCTCCATCCCTGACAGATCCCCCCGGGTCCTTGCTGGTCAATGAGCCGCAAATGCACCCAGTGCTCCCGTCCCGCTGCCCCAGCTCCCACCTTCTCCTTGGGCGCCCGATCGCCCACCCATGCCACTGCTCGCTGCCTCTCTGCACCAACCCGCTAATGCGGCTGCCCCTTCCCCCGCACCCTGGCA